TCTCTCTCTCTCTCTCTCTCTCTCCCTGTCTCTCTCTCTTCTCTCTCTCTCTCTCTCTTTCTCTCTCTCTCCGCTAATGTTTTCGCTTACTCCCTCACTCATTTCCCCTCAAAGGTTAATTGCGCTTACACCATTAAGCTCGAGCAAATTAGCATATCGAATATAGACAACTGTTTCTTTCTAAGTCTAAGTCTAAGACAAAGTGATTGAGGCAGTCTAAGATGAATGCTTGTTTGCGTTCTTGGGTTTTTTTTAAAGGAAGGAGTCATCGTCTTCTTTTATAGTGTTCTTTCTCAGGGAGCGCAGAAGGTCAGTTAGAGCACATTGCTATGTTAAACACTAAAATAGTATTGTTGAATAATATACTAAAAACAAAAATTTGTTGACCCTCATAGCGTTCTAGTGCGTGATTTACAGGTGCTCTGGTGTGGTTTGCCCCTTCTTTCCTATCAAAACCTGTCGTCTGTATCCCTCCTCTTTGTGTTTGCTAATTTCTTGTAGCACTTCTAGTCTTTGACACTTCTTTGACCAAATTGGGTTGCAATTTGCCGCAAAACACTTACTAAAACAAAACAGCGCTCCAGTTAATCAAACTAAAAACATAACAATAATGAATAGCACGTGCGAAATGGCTGTCGTATCTCAAAGCACAAGACAGGATAAGTACTGTGACTGCTACTTGAGGGTGATAACAACAGTATTGGCAATCTGATTTTAACATATCAAAATACAATAATCAATATGCATCGTGGTCCAATCTGCGTTTACAAATGGTATGTATGGTAAAATCTAGACCTCGTTCAGTTAGTCTCATTCAGTAGACTGACATTAGCATAATACACCTGGATAAATCAGCCTGTGAGTTTACCATAATGATTTTTTTGTTTCGATTAAAAGTCGTGCTAAGTTCAGTGATGTTATACAATATAATACAAGACTGCTTGAAAATAAAGCGTTTATCTTATTAAGATTTTAATGAATCCTTGAATCTGGAACTTCGAAACTGAAGCATTCTACATTATAATTATTAATTAATGTAATTAAAAATGTTGGTATCAGTAATATAGCTAAGTACTGCTAGTTTAAGATTTTCGGAATAACTCGAGATCTTGAGTACTTTGAGGATTATTACGCATGCAATATCAGAATTTTCTTTATAACGGCAATCATCATCATCATCATCATCATCATCATCATCATCATCATCATCATCATCATCATCATCATCATCATCATCATCATCAT